ATTGATTTAGCAACTGGTGTCAAATCAGTTCATGGAACAGTAATGGCAGTTCATGGAAGAATGGAGGGATGAGAGGTAAACAAATGAAGGAAAAGGTAAATAATAATTATGAATGGGTAAAATTTATAGTTGGTGAAATATACATATTCGACAGTTAGTTTATAATTTATTGACTATAAATGTACACCAAAATGTAACCTTTAGTATCAGATCCACAGCTAAAGGAAAAGAAAACACAGTTTTCTGGTGTCAAAGGTCTCAGTACTTGGTGCAGTGGAAAGATGCCCTCATTGTACACAGTGTTTAAAACCCCAGCAGCACAGCTGTGTGCAGTACACTCTGACCAGGTGGAACAACACAACCATGCCTCTACCATCTCAGTGTTACTAACAATAATATCTGGTCAGCAGTGGTCGCTTTTGCACAGTTGAACTGCTGTACATCTCTATGGTAGGTGAAAATGGCTAATGAGCGCAGATACAAGGTAGGAGCACCTTACAAACTGGCAACTCAGTGTTACTACTGTTACAAAAACTATCCTCAAATACTAATTAAAACTGTGCTACTTACTATCCAAAGGCTTAAATTATCTTCTCAGTGACTATGAGCTTTGTAATACACATTGGTGATCAAGTTAAACTACTTTAAATCGTGGTCTGAAAATCATCAAGGGACATCACAGTTCAGGGAAACAAACTGGACGTGGTGGTATGCACTCAGTCCTGTCAACAGGAATATACCAAGCCTTTCCGCAACTGCTGCCAAGTTCCAAAGCCTGTGTAAATGCTAGGAGCACGTACAGAGAGAGATAAACAGACACGAGAATGGATGGGAATCAGCAGTGTTACACACGATCACTGGACATTGGCATGCTCACACATGACGTCCTGGCAGGCCTAGTTGTAAAAGGGCTGCCAAGTTCTCAGGGAATGAGAGTCTAAAAAAAGTTTTCTCATTCAGAACACATTTAGCGACAACATTTGTCACTTCAAATTTAAGACTGGAACTAGATGTGTAGTAGCTACCAATAAGGTGCTACACATAATTCTTGGCACTCTTCCTCTGGAAAGGCTACATGTATATACCTATTCCTTCCTAGTACATTTTTGAGGTCCAAATTTAAGATTTTACTAAAAAAACACATTTGATAAATGTTGTCATTGAATGTGTCTCAGTGCATGTTGTATTTATGGGTACAGAAAGTTTGACTAAATCTGGTTTTGAGTAGGTGGTATTGGTAGGCAGTAATTACATCCTAGCTAAAGCATTCTTGAGAAATGGGCTCAGATTTTGTAGAGTCTTCCACTTTTGTTAAACACACCAGTGAATGTCTTTCAGGCATATAGCGCATGTTTCACTTGCACTGGTGGAGAGCATTTAAAAAGAAACAGCTGATGTTGTTAAATTGGGGTTCACATTCCTTTAAGAAGTGTGCAGGCATGTGCCCTAATAGTCAGTTTTTGTTTCTGTTTGAGAGAGTTTTCAGAAGCCTGCTAGTTCTCTCTGCTATGCGCTGTGATGCTAGCTTTACCTGCTCTATATCTCTTCTGCTTCTACTTATTATACCTTACGTTTGAGTGCATGAAATCTAAAGTAATACAGATGTGCTTTGGAACTTATAATAAATAACAATAAATAACGGTGGCACAGTGGGTAGCGTTGTTACCTCACAGCAAGAAGGACCTGGGTTTGGTTCCCCGGCTGGGTCACCAGGGTCCCTTCTGTATGGAGTTTGCATGTTCTCCCTGTGTCTGCATGGGTTTTTTTCTGGGTGCTCTGGTTTCCTCCCACAGCCCAAAGATATGCAGTCAGGTGAACTGGACATGCTAAATTGACCCTAGGTGCGTGTGTGTCTATGTGTCTGCCCTGTGATGGACTGGCGACCTGTACACAGTGTTTCCTGCCTTCCACCCAATGACCGCTGGGATAGGCTCCAGTACCCCCCGCAACCCAGAAGGATAAGCAGATTGTGTATATGTGTTTCGCAAATGTTTTGCTCATTTCAAGAGAAAAAAAAGAGAATGAAGTCGTGTTTCCATCCACTACAGATGCAAAGAAACTTTAGATGACATAGGCTACCATGATTAGGGGCTGCATCGAAACAAGCATGATTAACTCAGTATTTGCTTTAAGTAGCGTTATCGTTACAGCTATTTGCCATTTTTATGGCTATGTTGGTTGCAGCTCAGAGAGGCCAGGCAGGACAAGCAGTGGCCCACCTGATTAGGCCTGAAATCTTCTTGTCACCCCAACGACGTCCACCTTGCATCTGGGAACACAAACACAGCAGACAGTTCTGGCAGCACATTGTAATTTTTCAAATGAGCTTTGATTAGGCAGTTCAGAATCTTCTATATGCGCTATGACCAGACCATCTGTAGGACTGATCATTTCTCACTTACAGCTTGAGATCATTGTTTATTCAAAAAACCCTTTTCCATCACCATTTTTTCGCATTTTGGCTTTAGAGATATTCTAAATATTCCGTCTTGTTCTAACGTAAAATTCTTTTGCCGATATTTGGGTGTTTTTTTTTTATTTCAGGCTTTTTCCATTCTGGTTTTGTTTTTGTTTGTTTGTTTTTTTTTAACATGCATTTTCACTGTTTGCAAAAAGCTGGTGGATGGAAAACCCACTATTGGATTTACAATGAACTAAATGCTAAATGGACTGAATGAAATGCCTGAAAAATAGTGAAAATGTTTAGATGTTAATGCATAATCTGTAGATTTAAGATGGAAAATTCTGTTTAACATTCCATGAATGTAGCCCACTGTGGGTGTAAGAGACTTTACAGAGATTTGCACTAGTTAGTGTGCACACACCTGGGCTGGCTCTCATTAGCTGAGACTCAAACTCCCAGGTGTATCCCCAACAGGAACAAATGCCCACGACCAGAGTCCTCCATGATGGATGCATCAAGAAGGCACTAATGTGCAGGGTTCCCCATTCCATCTTAAACATCAAACACAAGGACTTTTCAAGGACCTTTGGGATTCTGTTCCAAAAAGGTATGGGCTACTTTTTGCATATACAAATGAGGTGACACATCTAAGCTATGAATTATGATCTTAGAGGATTTTGTTCATGTGGTATTTGTAGTATTCTTGTTGATAGCTATATGGCAGTGAATGGTTGGTATCTATTTTGTAAGTTAAGATGCTTTGTACTGTAACTTCCATTGTTCAAAAAGTTAAAGATTTTGAGAACTAGACATTGGGGATCGAATGGCAACATTAGGACAGAGGATAGAAGTAATTCTGACCTTCAGATGGTTCATATTATCTTGACCTTTCCTCTAGAGAGTAAGAACTGACTCGTGAAACAGTGACAGTATGACTGTGGCATGCATGAGCTCCCTTCATGGAAGCTGATTTATGTGTCTGTTTACACAACTGTTGTGTCCTACAAGACTGAATTTACACTGCTAGAACACACAGTTGTACACTAGCGTCAACACTGATGTATCATGACAGCTCTGGGCAACACATAGAAATGACAGCTCTGTTATTAAGTTATTCTGCATATTCCTTTCCCTTGCGTTTCTAAACTTTGATAATGGTGTAATTTTAATTAAAGCTCCTGTCTACCCATTTTCATGATTTCCTTTATAGTTGATCTATTGTTGCTGTGATGTTTTCACTATGAACTGTTACAGAAATATGATGTTGGTCTTTTTTGAGATCTTTGAAATGACTTTTTCTTGCCGTTTTCTTCTCTTCGATTTGAGTTGAGTGGGGCTAAAACTGGCAAAGCTGACATAAGATCTACCAAAGTAACAGAGTTAGCAATATGTATACATCAGTTACTCACATTCTTTTTCAATTACAAGCATGCAATAAGTGGTGGACCACCTTCACTGCAGGAATACAATTATATGTCCAACTACCACCAGAAAAAAACATCCATGCTTACAGTATTTCCCTGCAGTTGTACTTCATAGGCAAGGCACACAACTCATTTCTCAGAAGTGGCTGCAAGTATGACCGACTTGTGATGGGAACTTGTGTTTTAAGATTGTGCCATGGCCAAACGTAATTCTGATACACTCCACATCTTTCCTAAACATCCGCTTTATTTTTTCCCCTTCAATTGCTGCTTAGCAACCATTACGTTATCTTCTTTTATCTCAGTTGAGCTTTTCTTTTAAGCAGTTTTTTTTTTTTACCAGCGAGTTAGTCTTGTTTCTTTCAATGTACTTTGCATTTAAATCTCCAGATATTCAAAAGTTGTGCTGGGGTATCTGTGAAACGAGACTTTATTTTACGAGACAATACTTCAGCACAGTAGAATACAATTATTTCTAAATATTAAATATCAGGCACCTATGTTGAAGAAACAAGTTGCATCATCCTTGTTCGCAATGAGACATAATTGAAAGAAAAAAATCTGTTTCAGTATGCTTTAGTTAGAATTCTTGATAGTTTGGCTGTTTAAGTTTGATGCTTTATGTATATTTCAGCTGTCCAATTTTAATTTACATCATCTTCATTGGGGTAAATGTTTTGCTTGTTGCACTGCGGGTAGGGAAATGGTCCCTTCTTGAACATGGAGTGACTCACCCCCACCTCTTGTTAACAAACTAACATTTATGTGTTGACCACGAGAGAGAAATTGACCTTTATTTTTGCCTTCATAATATAACAGAGACGGCTTCAATCACAAATGAAATCACAAATCAGAACTTTCTTATTGGTTCATTTGTTTTCATTTGCCTTTGTACTTTGAGGAAATACATTTAGACAATGCAATGCATATGTAATAGTGAAAGAGAACAGTTTGCAGAGCGGTTTTCAAACAATTTATTGAATTATACAAAAATACTAGTACAAAAGAAAAAATCCTTTGGGTTTACATTTTCCCCAAATGCAAGCATAACAATTCACCAGTCATTCACATCCCACTATATCCAGGCATGTTAAGATAATAATGATGTTAATTAAGAGTTTTAAAAGTAAGGGGTGTAGTTATGTTTATAAAATATATACCTGGACTCAAGGCAGCAGTGGAGATTTGTAAACATTATTAGGTTATTATTAACGCTATTAAATCTTTTTTTTTTTCCTGGCAAAATGTGACCAGTACTGTAGTGCAGTGTTGTAAGCAACCTCATCCACTAACAACCACTAACATTCATTCTCCTTTCAATTTCTGACTCTAAACCATGGAAATGCTTTCTTTTACAATCCAGTAAACCTGAGAATTGTAGTACATATTGACTATAACAGTTACCAACTTGACCAAAGCAGCCATCTTAGCTCATATTTCCAGTTTCTGAGATAATATCAACAAGGCATTTCAGCTAAAAGACATCATCAGAAAATGCTAACAGTGGACTGGGGAAAAGGTGAGCTAAAAGCGAAGGGCAAAATGGGTGAATTGGTGAAAGCAACGTAAAAGCCAATTTACATTTGTAAAGTGCTTTTCGATTTAGTGCTTCTATGCTTCCATACGAATCACCTAAAGAGCAGCACTGTTGCACAGTTTACATTGTCAACTGAACACAACAGGTATACGAAGAAAACAAACTAAAAACAAACAAGAAGAACATGGAAAGTGCCATTGTTCTTTGACAATGATGGAAACTGAGCCACTGTGCTCTGGAACCATTCAAAATGTAAACAGGAACCCATACTTTTGTTTATACATGTGTATGTCTGCAGTGATCTTTCACAGCTCACAGCTGCTACAGTTGGCTATAGCTGCTATAAACACATGAACAGTACTTACACAATTACTAATCCTAAACTCTAACAGCGCTTTAGATTCTTCAGGTTTTTTTCACATTATCTTAGTTTTCACTTTTCAAACAAGTGCTTGCTCAAAACATCACATCTTTATGACACCTGAAGGGACCCTAACTACTGTGCACCACAATCATTTGTTATTGTGCAACTGAGGCTCAGGCTGTTTTTTTCTTTGGTCTCCTCCAAATAAGGAAAGATATGTAGAATATCAACTGTATCCTTGTGTTAGTTGCAGCCCTCAGAGACAAAATACTGACTGACGTTCCACTGGGTTTGGGTCAACCTGCAATGAGAAAAACAGGCATGGATATCTAATGAAACAGAATTATATATGAATATGAGAGCAGGTGGATGAAAGACTGACCTCTGAGTATAGTGGAGGTGGCTGGAAGCGGAACTCCTGAATGTAAGCGAAGGCCTGGCTACCCAGCTGCCTCTCCGGCTCATGTGACCACTGGGAAGGTGAGACAGTTGGATGGTGCTGGTCAAACTCCTCTTCTGACACAACATCTGCATAGTTAGGAGGCGCTAAACAAGCAACGACAAAAGAAACCTGGTTAAACTGTTATTATTTTAAACCAGTGTCACAGGGATCTGTGGAGAAGATTCTGTGACGGATTTTAAATCAATCATAAGAGTGAAAAAAGTGCAATTCAGAACTGAAATTAGTTTTCATTAGTGACTGAAAAGTGCAATGTGCTTTTAACATGGCAAACCTGGTGTACTATGCAGAGTGGAGCTGTGTGAATTACTTTTCAAGGTGAATTACCTTCACGTCTGGCACACATTCATCATGTACTTCTTAAAAAGCAAATCCTAGCTAAATGTTCTTCAGTCAAGAAATCATGCAATGTTAGAGCAATGTAAAGTAGATTTTACTTTTCTGCATGCCACTCAATAAAATATCAAATGTTGGTACAACTTTATAATACCACTACACTTACAAAGAGTGTATGGTGTCAAATGAGGTTATTAATGGTCCTTAATTAGGTCACAAATACCTTACAATGTATAAGCAGCTATAACGCAAATAAAAATGGCAGCGACATGCCAAATAGTGAGCCCACATACATTTATATCTTATACTCTTATATTATTGTTATACTACTATACAATAGTCTTATACTAGGTTATACTGTTACTTATTCTACTTTGTCTTCTCCTTTAGTCAGTTCTTAATGAACATTGAATATTGAATATGAATATTCATCACTACTGCCGTTTTTCTTAATGATTTTTAAGGTGTGTATGACCTGATTAATAGCCATTAATGAACTCATAAAGGCAGTCTTAAGGCGGTTTCACACTTGGACCATTTCAGTCTCTGAAGTGGACTCAGACTGCGAAGTCACGGTTTTCTGTGCATATGTGAATATGCCAAAAGAACTCAGAGCCCTTTTAACGGCCCCAAAAACAAACGGTTTGTTTGTAGTTTGTTTTGTGCTCCGGGTGATCTCGAAGTTTACAATAAGCAAACAGCCACAGTCTTCCAGCACTTTAGCTGGTAAAAACGGACCACCAAGGTACTACTCAGGATAAAGCCTGCCTGTGATCTCGTGACAACACAGCAGACATATTAAAGCGCTAACATTCGAGAGCCCTTGTGATTTTACTGTGTTAAAGACTGATGCTAGGTACGTACGCAGTGCAAAGTTTTAAGCTGCTTTCACACTAAACGCTGAATAAATGAAAATTCACTTATTCACTTAATTTTAGACACGGATTTTCACCAGGTGATGCTTAGTTATGAGCACAGCGACAAACAGAACCCACTGCAGCCAATCATTTTAGCATGGCCAATAGGAAAGCAGCATGCGTGACTGGTAGATCCTCTCGCCCCCCGAAAGGTTAGTTTCAACAGAGAATGCTGCCCACTTTGCGAGCACTACGCACACACAGTGAGTGGTGTGAAAGGAGTCAGAAAAGGAGTCTTCTTTATAGTTCACTTACTTTGTGAACACAATAAGCATTGAGGTCATTTGCAGTTGGTTCCCTTTCAAGTTCACTTTAACAGAACTCAGTTAGGTTTATTTAAAAAGAACTACAAGTGAAAACGCCCTTAGGTAGTTTTCACACCTAGTTCTTTGCTTAAATCCAGACCAGTTTGGGTTTTTGTGACACTATATCAGGTCACTGATGCAATACGACTTTTTACTGACCATGGTTAATTTGTCACCAAACTAAAGAAAAAGTTCAACAGGTCTGCACCAAACAAGGTAGGTGTGAAAGCACTCTCCTTGTAAAGTGGTACCCAAATGTTTTGCTTTGTCTGCAATGCTAGTATCGTAGGCTAGCAACTATGACAGTGTGATCAGCGATCCTGTTGCTGTACATTGAAAATATATTGTAGGTTAAACCTATTTTACACTTTTTTATTTGATTCTATTTTCAAATGACAAAAACTTGAAAACAAATTTTCAGTTTAATTTAGATCAAAGTGATGTGTCAAGACGGCAAACCTCAACAGCACCTTAGCACAACATAATTCCACTGTGAACTCGCAAGCAACTCTGCACTAGAGCTTGTGTAATGTGGCATACTAAACTAGTCATGACACAAAAGTACATTTTAATTTATTTCATGCCTCCAGTCTTACCTTCAGGTGTGTCTGGGAGGGTGAACGGGAGCCAGCCTGTGCTGAACCCACTGATCACGCTAAGACTGCGACTGCCAAAGCCACTGTAGGGAGTAGTGCCAATCACAACGGGAAGCTCCACGTTCAGTTTTCTGGCACCTGGTATCTGAACTATAACCTTGGAAAAAAGAACAACAACAGACACTCTGATAACATTGTATTTAGACTAGGAACGGAAACCTCTGGCCTTGTTTGACAACAATACCATATTAGTGAAACAATATGAAACAAAATGAAAATTTTCACTGCCTTTTCTCATGATATGGTATATTTTGCTGTGAAATAACAGTTTATCTAATACACTGTTTAAATACTAATCAAACCTGCATAATGATAATGCACTTTGTAACTATTGTTTGTTGACTAGGACCAAAGACCCACAATAATACAAGCTGTTGTTGTTACATACTAATGATACTGACCTTAAGTAATATTTCTTCTAGTATCAATGACTCCAACATCCCTAATTTAGTCCAAAAATGACATCTGTCAGTCATTGCTTGCTTATGAATGTAACTGCAAGACTCCTCATTAGTTACCATTCATGAAGTAACCAAAAGATCTTTGCAAGGACGACAAGCTGAGCTAAAAGTTCAACAGACTGTTACCCCTTAAACATCCACATCCTAAATCTAATTATTTAATAACTACATTAAACACAATGGTAATAACTCATTTATTCTTAAGTTACAGGAGTTATGGAAAGTCAGTGAATGTTAGGAAATTTAGCAACACATTTTTTTCAAATCTTTTATCAACAAGTAAATATAATTTGTACTTACAGCTAGGGAGTATTCCACTCTCAGAATGTCGGAATTAAGGATGGATGGAGAAACTGGTGGTATCTTCAGTGTTTTTCCATTCCATGTGACAGCACAGCCTGACGGGATGTGATTACCTCTCACACTGGCGACCACTTGCTTGTATCTTATAGTTTTTCCTCTGGCTTTGTAGATCTGGATCTGGTAAATAACTGCTTTAGGCATGACCAGTCGAGAGGAGCAGTTCTCAATTTCTGCATGGATTGGAATTGACTCTCCTAAAATAGATATAAAAGCAGAAACTACTTCATTCAGAGACTGTTGTGTTTGTACAGTCATGCACAGTACAATGAAAGGCTTCCCTTGCTAGTCTACTTTGGTGCAAAAAGTGGGAAATTAAGTTCATTTGTTGTTTCTTGGGCTTAATTATGAATAATCAAATCATGATTTTCTCACTTTCGAAAGAAGTAGCATTAATTTGTACTTCAGAATAGGGCTACACAATCTATCACTTGGTAATTATTCTTGTAATAATAGCCTATGAAATACAGATATCACAGTGCGCAAATGAGCCTGCAAACAGTGCTTAGGTTAGGGGTGGGCACTCTAGTACTCATTTAAGTACTTGCATCTACTGTGCTTTTTTTTGGAGGAGGAAAGTCCACCAGGTTTAGTTCTTCCTACTCAGCCTATGAACATTAGCAACGTTAGCAAGTGCTTTGAGCACCACAATTAGCAAAGAGACACAACATTGTACTTCTACATAAAAATAAACTACTCATCAAGCTATGGTGTTGAGGAGTACCCCTTGTCTATTTGCAGCCCTACTTTCCCAGTTTCCCTTTCAGCCACCACAGATGCAAATAGACATCAGAGTATCACTCCAAGTTGCAGAGTCAATTTACTGTGCAATAAAGCCCTGCAAGTCTACAGTTCTTGACAAGCATGATGCAAACGTTAAATGAGTCCAGAGGTGACGTAAAAGTGACTAATGTGTGCATGAGTGTCATGGGCAGGTGCAGTGTAATCTACTACCTCACTGAACTTCCAGTCCTCATTTCAGTATAAAATAGCACATACATCATCATAATGTGTTAGCATGACTGTCACTGCAGACACACTCTGACAGTCAACAGTGCAGTGTGTCTGAGAAATCAGATCTTTGGCATTTCAAGACTTGAACTAACATTAAACATTAACTAAGCACACCATATAATAATGTATGATCAGCAGCCTACCTTTGTGCTTAGACGGCAAGCTGTCCAAATATTGATCAGCAAAAATGCAAGAGGACAGATTCTGTCACTGAAAGATGAATCTAATGAATCTACCTAATGAAGAGAACAGTACTTTTCTTGATTTTTCTTACCATTGCTGTATCCTTTTCGCTCAATGTTGACATTCAGGGAGACGGGACCTGAGGCAAAGATCCAGCAGCCAATCATCTTCTCATTACTTTCTGACACAGGACACTGAATAAGAATAGTTCACAGTGAATCACAGGAAAGCTACTAAATATTTGTGTATATATATATATATATATATATATATATATATATATATATATATATATATATATATATGCACTACATTTCCAAAAGTTTGGAATCACTTGCTATATAAAAATAACGTACACAACGTGGATGCTACAAATGTTTTTCTATATAGCATTTGTATTTTCTCACTGTGTGAGCTCAAGTTTCAAGTTCAAGTTTCAGTCAAGCTGTGTCAGTCAAGAATCTTAGAGACGGGACGTGTACAACATAGCGCGAAAGCCCTGTTTCGCAACGACTAAGAACTGCAGGTCACATAGCAGCGATGCGTTATTCGCATTTATAAGCGCTGCTGTTGGTTTCCTGGTACGTTAAATCTGCAACGAGAGACTGTCACACACTAAAAAGTGGCGAAGCTGAAGTCAGCTTCTCTTTTGAATTCTCCCGTTCCACCTTAAATGGTGCCGCATTTACATTCGGCGCCTCAGTCAGAATTTAAGGTGGAACGGGTAAATTCGAACAAGAAGCGACTTCAGCCTCGTAAAACAGTTGAACGTTGAGAGACATTTAACTGATCAACTTCTGAGGAAAGGTTTTCTGGCGGAGATGGGAGGAAAGCGGCTATAGACGAAGCTTAAAGCACAGCAAAGTAAATCTGCGTTTTCGTTTATATTGTTTAGTCTATACTAGGACGTTAGCACATACTGAGACATACTGGACATTAAATGTTGTGGCTCCCGAGGTGGTTTGAATTTGTTGAAAGGACAAAATGGCTCTTCTTATCATTTGTGTTGTGACTCCTGACCTAACCTGGCTTTAACGCAGAGGGAGCCGGTCGCTGCACTTCCGCACTTCCAAGTTCCACCTTTTGCGTTCCGTCAACATTACGTTATAAATTAAATATTTAGAAAATCGATTTTTGACATTTGTGAATCGATTCAGAATCGTTCACGTCCGCATCGCATATATATATTATATATATATATATATATATATATAATACACCAGCACATTTAATTTAATTTAACTTAATGAAGAACTGAATAGCCAAATCAAGTAGTGGATGATAACTACAATAATACTGGGCTTTCCAATAATACTGAGGTTAGAAAACGGTGCTATGAATGTACTGACATGCGTACAAATCACTCCTTCTAATAGTTATTTGTATTAATTGTAATATAAATGTTTTTCTTAGCAAATAAATGATTACTCTCTACATAAATATCTTTGTAAATCTATTTTTCTCAGGTGCCTAAAGCTTCTGCACAGTACTATACACACACACACATATGGGTTTCATTGTGTCTCTATCGATACACAATGTTGTAATACACAATGTAATAAAATTCATGATATTTCATGGAATATGGATTTAGCATAACTCCAGTGTTTGATCAAAACACATGTAATCAGGCTTTAAATCACCTTCACATAAATCTTCAGGATGTTATAATATGATTCATACAATCTCTTACAAAAGCTTACAATCATATTTTTTAATGAGTGCAATCTGTATTTACCCAGCTAGTTTTGGTCAAATTGTTGTCCAGTGCTTTTTCCCCACAACGCTCCTCTGATTAATCTTCATCTCATCTGTCAATAAGTCTCAAGACTCTATTTTTATGCTTTTTATGCATGTTTTACCAAACAGGCCTTTCTGTTCCCAAGGTTTACCAGCGGCTTGCTCAATCTTTAAGAAAGCCTGAACAGTGTTCCTGATCTGTTCAACAGTGTTTTTACATGATTAAAAGTACTGTTTAGTCTTGCGCTACTGTGGTGTGGATATTACTGAGCTCACTAGTGCATTTTTGCATCTTACAAATGTACCAAACACTATTTTACTGAAATGTATTCAAATTTTTCATAATGTCTCATAATGGTCTGTGAAACAGGCACAGATACGTCTTTTGTCCATATACAGTAACCGAGAATCAACTCTAGACACTTTGCTAGCTGACACAACCGAGCCAACTGTTTTATCATTTTTGCCCCCTAAACTGGATAAATGTGTACACAGACTGTGAATTCCCACAGAGTGAACCTGATACAGCCATAACCCCAAAAAATATTTCACAGTATATCAGTTTTGAATGGTTCTGTAGCAAAAGCAATTCTCGGTTATGCACTGACTGATTAAAACCACTGAAAAGAAGCACACACAGAAATCTGCACAGCAAAATAAAAGTCAGCAGGCACGTCAGTGGGTGTTTTTTATTTTGGCATGCTCACCACCAGTTCTGGAGAGTTGACATCAACATGGCTGATGATAAGAAGTTCTCTGCAAACATGTTGATCATGATGGAGTGGTCTCTGCAGAACAGCCTTCACCGAATAGCAAACACTGCCATGCTTTCCAGTGAACGAAGAAACAAGGGGTCTGCAACACAATGCCAGATGTTTGGGGACAGCATTTTCATGGGATGTGACCTTTACATCAAAATAGATCAGCAGCCTAATGTGTGTATCTCTTCTGAGAAGCAATTAACCCACCACTGAGAAGTAGTAATTGTAAGGTGTCATGTATCGAGCCTTGGTGTACCAAAGCCAAATGGTATTACCTTTGAGGCAGTTCCAATTCAAAGGGTATTTCATGGCGTCCTGCTTCAAGGCTGAGGCCTTCATTACCTGGTTAGAGGAGAAGCCAAATCAAACCTTTATTTAAAAAATGTTCCTCAAAATACCTAGTTTGCTATTTCTACTGGTCAAACCCAGCTGGTTTAGTTAATATGACCAACCTGTTGCTTCTAGAAGTGTTTTTGACAGGCAGAGATATTCCCTTTCTTCACCACAATGGGATAAAAACGGGGATGCAACGATGTTAAGAGCACCTGCAGGTTGACTACGTGATCCATCAATCCAGCCAACTCGACAACATCCTGTAGCGAACAGTCGGATGGCTCTGATTATGGTAGGTGCTGAAAGTTCGATCAAAACATGCCCAGACACGAGCTGCCCGGAGCTGTACCCGTTCCCTTGGTCGTTGTCAAAAAGTAAGCCCAACATTTTCACTTTGTCAGCCATGTCTGGGTTCACTGTTGATAAAAAAGAGAGCTGTTAAAGGCAGAAAGATTGTAAGTTGTCTTTGAAGAGTTTTCCTCTAACAATATGACACATGCTAGCTAACTAGCCTGCGAGCCAAATACCTAAAACTGTCCTATAGAAATGTCTCTTAGATCTCCTCCTACTGTATAGTCCTGCCTTTGGGTCAAGTCCTCTGGCAAACTGCTCTGTGAAGATTTCCAACTTGTCAAAGAAGAAATACCGATAGGAGGTTCAGCTCAGTTTAACGAACAATGAATCGATCATCCGATTCGACGAGTCACTATTCACGAGTCCAAATGAGAAGTCCAACTTCTCATTTATATTAGATTTTTAATGGGGTTTTACTTGTGGAAGATGGTTAAAATATTAGTGTTTTATTAGAAGTATTCAGCCTGTAACACGGACGAAAACTATGTAGATGCTATAAAAAGTTCGACTCAGTGAATCGGTTCGACTGATTCGCTGGAAAGAACCGGTTCATAAAAGCCATGCGCTCGCGAGCCAGAAACTTCTTTCTTACAGAAGTCAAAGCTCAACCAAACCGACGGGCTTCTACATCTACGAATTTTCATTTTCTCTTCTCAGCGCATCACTAAGTCAAAGTCATCACTTAAAGCAAGTTCCTTGACCATACTCACCGAAACGGCCTTCCCAAAACTCTGCAGGAATCCGCTCATCAGTTCTAGCGAGCTATCAGGTGTTCACTGTTTGCTTTCTTTGCGGAGAATATTTAAGTAAAGAGTTTGAGTGTTACAAATAGCGAACATTTTCATGTTGAAGTACGTTCTCTTGTGCAACATCTAGTTAACTACCAGACTCACATTACTTGTTCACCCCACCCCAAAAAAAAACAAAAAACCTAAGCGCGACTTCTTTGGGAATGTTTTTTAAAGGCGGGGTTTTAGGTGTAGTAGTTCGGTGATTGGACAAAACAGTTTCGCTCAGTTTTCGTCACAAGCACGTGCGCAGGCAATGGAGTATTTACCAATAGGCGTGATCTGCTGAGACGCTCCAATCACAGAGCAGCAAGAACGCGTGAACAGGCCTGTGATTGGACGGCCTCTGGCTTACAGCCAATCAAATGTAGCTTCACTCCACGTGGACAGGCTGTGCAGCGTGGAATTGACTGTTTTTGTAAATAAAACGGCTGACAATCCGTTTTCGCCATCGGTGTGAGCCGTGATTGAAAATGTTTTATTTCATGTCTCAATATAGAGTTCTTTTGTCTGATAACCAAAGGGCCCTTACAATATTCGCTATTGAATTATAGTCACATCACACCAAACGGGTTCTACTATCGTTACGATGTCAGGCTTGTGACAATAGAAGAACCCTTTTTGGTGTTAGAACCATTTTCAAAAAGGTTCTATATAGAATCATATACAACACATTCCCCATCAATCTGAGGAAGGTATTTGGTGCTTCATAACGAAACCTACTTTACAACGGTGGTGATAGGAGCCATTTTATATATTATCCAGAAATAAAACGTTAACTGAATATGAAGACGTGATCATGATAAAACAATAAAAAATGGGTTTGTGTTGTAGATATTACGACCCCTGGCTCCTATCACCACCAAGTAGGTTTTTTTTATAACGCACCATTTCACACCATTCAGACCTACACTGCGTCGGACATGTCAATTACAATCAGTACTGCTACAGTCCAAGATAAACTAATTAAACACATGAAGTCTGACCTGTGTGACAGCAAACATGGAGTCAGGACATCCATTCTTTGTCACTGCAATACTCACTTGAATTGACGACATAGTATACTGAAATGTGATAATAATACAAAAGAAAATGGCATTCTGGCCCTTTCAATTTCAGCCAGAAGAACCTTAATGAGTCTTCTGAGTTTTTATATGGAGTGTTGATAATAGTAAAATAGCAGTAAATCTGAAACAAGGCTTTTTGGATGGTGTTTTGTCTTACAATGCTTTGCTATATTTTAAGAATATGTTTTAAACCAAAAGCTTATCTCAAAATTATAAGGTAGCTTATAGCTTTTCATGGTTCCTGTCACCAGCACTGTGAGCATTTCTTACTGTAAGTTTCTCTAGAGTGGCACATTTATATCAAACCTCTCTGAATGACCTTGTTTACAACTTAGCCCTTTGATAATGCAGAAAAATTGATGGAAATCTCCTTCAAATCAATCATATCATCAGTCCACATTGCTTTGGTAGCAAAAGACGTTGGCCAATGAAAGCATTGTTCCAAACAAACAAATCCCAGCTGTCATGACTTCTGCCATTACATCTGATACATCAGACTGTCCAGATTTGTTAAGCTCATGGCATTCTCTGAACAGTCAGACAGAAGCATACTTTGAGACCTAATCTAATTCTAATTCCTTTAACCTCCTTTTGAAATTGCTCTTTATCACCACCCAATGGTGAACACACAGACCTACATGGTGCTGTGTGTTTAGTATGATGTGTTTGTCTTTTGTATTTACTCAAGCATGGAGTGAAACGCTCCATGTATGAATTTTTATTATTGTAATCATATTCAGTTATGTGTTGCATATTGTATATGGCAATTTCTGAACACATGTAAAGAGCAAGATAAATATGACCAGACAGCTTGAAACTGTCTAGTATGTAAACGGGTGACTGTTCTATATGGAAGAAGGTGTTTCTGTAATATGCAGATGATACAGCCTGTGACATTCATATAAGTTTCATATGACAAGCTTTTAAACAGTTTTTTTATTGTTATTATGTATTTAGTCTGGTGTTAATTTTGGCCTAGTGCTCATGTACTGGAACCAAAAGGCTTGACCTAGAGAGCAGTTTATTTATTCAATGTGTTTGCGTCATTATTTCCTTGATAACACAAAAGGAGTGGACAGAAATCAAATTATGTTAGTTATAAGGTTCTGATGCTCAATAAAAGTCAGTAGACAGCAGTGCAGAAGGCAGTGGTAAAATGGGAGGATGTAGTGCACGGTTTGATGAGATTATTCAGCATGAGCGAAATGATTGAGGTCAAAATCAGGCCACTGTATGCAATAATCTCAGTTACAGGCGCCATCAGTACAGAAAACGTTAGGGTTTGCAGCTCACCTAGTGCGAATGTGAGGTTATGACTGTGTGTGTGCGCGTGTGTGCATCCACATTTGTGTGTGTGTGCGGCGTGTGTGTGTTGAGTGTGTAGCGCATGGGCTGCTGCAAACTCCCCTGTGGGCTAATAGATTCGAGATGACATGCTCTCCGCTTCCATGGTGAATGTTCACTGAACTTTCTGGCATGGAGGCAGCCTCTAAAGTGGGTTCAACCAGAGGTTAATATAAACAAACAGCAGAAAATGGAGAGCCAGGGATTATTAAATGTTGGGATGACTGACAAATCCCTCATTGCCATTAGCCCCTGCCCTCCACCTATGCCCCCCTTGTCCAAAAACTACTGTACCGGGGTACGACAATTTTGTGGTCTTAGCACAGCTTGTTTAATGCTATCTGTCGTGGGGCTCCAAATTAGTCATGTGCTGTTCAAGCATGAATCACTGTAGCCAAGCAACAAACTTCTCCTCTGTGCACAACCTTAGAAAAGACTGGGCACAGACATTTACATGAGCTTAAAATGCTAAATATTTCGTGAGGTGTTTTTCACAGCGAAGTGCACACTATCTAACACTTGGGGCTGGTATTTAGACCTAGTTTTATTAGTGGGGTCCTGCCATCCAAAGTCCTTCTAAGAGTCTAAGAAAAGTGTGACCCACTTCTTTGAGAATGACCCAGTATGTTGTGAGGATAGAAAGAAAACAGAGAGAAACATTTGAGTTATTTGAACATTTCTCATCAGAGGTATTGCACAGTGTATTGTAAGTTAATGAAAGTCTGCTGGTAGAAATTCATAGCTGTGTACACTGCATTGCTGCTGTTAGATCAAAACCTTGTAATTCCCTTTATATACAACATTTAAAAATGGCAGCTTTACATTATGAGTGGACCATAGACATGGCCCAAAATGATGGTCTTCCAGGTCTTGCGCAGTGATCTGCCAGGTCTTTAGAAGTCTCATTTACTCTGTATCCTTTAGTCATTTTTTGAACTCCTCCTTTTTTGACTTTCCCCTTCATTGTGCAAGTGAATTATCTTATATCTAATCTCCTCAGAAATATCTCCTGAAAAATGAATAACTGGTACTCAGTGTCACTTTTATGTTATTGGATGGTGGACCATTCTCCATTCTCATGTCAGTGACATTGTTGTGGTAGTGGTATGGTAGTGTGTGTGGTGTTACTGCGAGGTTGAGAGTAGTCTCCCACCCTAAAATATGCCATCTAGAGCAGTTCTGTGGTCAGAAACTGACCACTAATGAAAGGCAAGATGAAAGCTAGCATAAACTGTGCACCAACAGAAAGTATACAGTTTTTAACTGCACACCAGCAGAACATGGGAGCTGTCAACGAGTGTATATTTTTTCAATTTTAGGCAACCCAGAATAACCCAGAATGCCTGTAGCAACAACAACATGCCACTTAAACACATGTTTATTTTATGTGTGCTTATTTTTATTTACTATATTTGCTTTACTAGCGCTTTATTGTGTATATCTTCATTGAATTTTTTCTCATCAAAGTGAATAAAGAATTAAGTCTTCTTAAATAATATGGCAGAGTTAAGTAGGGGGAGAACCCTCCCCTCCTCCCCAAGAATGATGTTGCTTAGGGCCACCAAATGTTCAAAAACAGTGCTGATTTTTATGAATTTCTCACATCTGGCTTAGTGAGATTGTAGAGCAGAAAGAATTTGCAGCACATAATACACATTTATAGTCATGTGCAAAAGTTGAAACACCCCTGGTTAAAGGACACGTTTTGTTGATTTTCTAAGTGAAAAGAAGTCAGACTTACACATAGCATTTTCTGCAAATGTGCACAGTTTCTATTAACTTGCTGAGTTTAACATACTGGAAAAACCAAAAACCAAAACTATAAAATGTGCCATAACTTTTGCACTGGCAACATTTTAAGTTATTTTTTCCAACATGTTAAATTCAGCAAATAAACAGTAATTGCGCATTCAAATGTGCAGAAGTGTGTTCTCTGTAGAGGAAGTGTACATTTTGTCAGTTAGAAAATCAACAGATGATGTCATTTGAACAGGGGCACACAAACTTTTGCATACGACCTTAAGTTTGAATGGCAAATAGCCTTCAGGAGCAAAAGGCTTATAAGATATCTGTCATAAAAATCCAATTCCATGCATTTACCCTTCAATTTAGATTCTCCAGTTAGGATGAATGTTGCTTTCAAATATTCCTGCACAGGGGTGGTCTTTGCACTACGCAAAGTTGGGCACCCATGTAGGGCCCCCATGAGCCAAGGACCCTGTAAAAATGCAGCTTAGATATATTGTATGTGTTGATGTTAAATAACCTGTTCCAAAATATAAATACAAATTAAAAAACAGCTGTTATTTGCGATTGTAGTGATTGTTTTTAATAACTGCAGTGCGTCTCCACTCCCGTCATGATCATAATGGAGTGTTCCATGCTGTTACATCATGACTCACCTGCACAAAGACAGACTGGTATGAACAAGTGATTAAGTGATAATCTACATTTTGGAGATGCATTTCTTTGGTATGATTTTCTGAAGCAAAAAGTTTGTCATTTCACTCCCAGAGTGCTGCACAGGCTGTATAACAGACCATTTATAATACTAGCATTAATGTCAGTATAGATGGCTCCAGTGTCGGGGTAGTTACTCAAAATAGTAATCCATCCATTACAACTTACTGATGACTTCTCTCAAACTGCAATAGGATTACATTACTTACTGCTTCTTGGAACAAGTATTCTCTCTATACTGGCAGATAATTTTGTGTGTTTCAAGCATATTTCTT